TCCAAAAATTATGGACCGTGGTAAATAAAGTAATATTATTACAATTAAAGTATTAGCCCTCTCGTTTTACATAGGTACTACATAAAACTAAATCATATATTTTACCCATGGCCATACACAATCACACCCCGGACTCTCAAGAAGTTATTAACATGTTCTCTTAACTAATTTCGTCTCCTAACTGATGCTGAGTGAAAATATCTACTTTCTAGTCACATGTAATTGTTAATGTCATTTTACTAAACTTTATTTGCACGTTTTAGCTAAAGTCTACGGGTTAGATACACTTACTGTATGTAGTCAGAAACCAGAACATTACAGCAGATTTGAAATAAGATTATACTCATCAGCGCGAAGTATCTCCACTACAAATCCACGACGGTTAACACTATCTTGACTCCAGTCGTGCATGATCCCAGTAGCTTGCTTGCTTGCAACAAATATTTACACTCGTAGACCAATATATAGCTAGATCTGTTCAGGGCATTTATTTGGCAGGGTTATGTTAGTATGATTACGGTATTCATCCTTGTACATTCACGTACAAAAGGCAAATGAAGTTTTATATATAATCACAATGGTCTTTTGAAAAATTTCCTACTGTCTTAACCTTTAAATATTACAAATGTTTTCCAGGAAAATTAATTAACAGTATACGAGAAATTTCAGGAATATAAAGCAGCATATCACTGTGCAACTGCGACTGATTAATAAAATAAATGAAATTATCACGTCTCACACAAGTTAAGGTACAGTCGACTCTACCACCTCCCTCTTTGACCGCTAATGCAGCACTGTCAGTATTCAGCCGCTCGGAGACCAGGAGACTCGTCTCGGACAAACTTCACACCGCGGCCTGTTGTGGGTGAAAGTGATGACGTCACGGCAGCCGCACGTCTGCCAACCATCTGGCTGGAGGCAGCGCTGACGAACACACTGATAGAAATATTTATGCTCGGTGTATCTAATATTTTCACTGGTAGAAAGTGAGTTGCTACGACTATCCATTTCTTACGAACCTGCCTGCTACTTTTAGATAACCAATTCTGCTGTGATTTTTCTTACCTGGAAATGTTTTCCAATGTCATGGACTGATTTGTTGTGCTTGCAGAATGTGTAAATAAAATTCTGACTTCAAAATATACACATTCAAACGTGTCACTTATCAAGGTTTAAAACAAAGGGGTCATTAGCGTGTGCATCTATCTATATATGTATTTCATTGTCTAAAAAAAACATAGGAGCGGATGCAAAACCTGTCCGGGAACCGTTATCAAGTCGGGTAGATATCGAACTGGTGACGATATAACTGTAATTTAATTTAGTCAACCCTTGATACTCATTTTTTTTTAGCTCCGAAAATCCCTGTTAGTGTACGAACCGTTACCATGGCGCGAATAACACCAAAGGTTTATCCTGTGGACTTGACACATTTTATAATTATGACCATACTTTACAAGTTTGGTGCATATCTGCAAACCCCGAGACTACCTTAACTATAGTTTGTGGGGTTGAACATCTGTGATAGATAACACATCGTGGTTATTTTTCTTTTACTTATTATATTTGCATTAGTGAAAAGAAAATATATATCAGTATGGAACTAAGTTATGCACCTGTGTAGAGATATCGTAATGAATTATTTTTATTCCTTTAAAGGATTTATATAATCAGTGGAATTAACAATAATCAAGAGGTGCCTAAGTAACATAACCCATTAACCTTCAGTTTTGAGACTGCATAAATCTTTAAGTACTGTGATCGCTTGTTTCTAAGCAGAATTTCAGCGCGCTGAGATGGTGACAAAGCACTGAATTTAAACAATACACACAAATTCAATAGTAGAGTTGATGTACAACACAGTGAAGGGACTTCCTTGTTCCTCCAGCTGCCAGGTGACTGCCAATTGGGTTGCTTAATCCAATCTAAGTCTGCACGAGAGAATGTGGGCTGTGCTTCTCTTACAAAATAATTTTATTTTCTTTTTTTTAGATATGCTCGCTTAACCAATTAGGAGACAAAGTTAACGTAATGCTTCTTTGATAATAATTTTAATGTTAATCTTGCCCCCTGACTGACCAGTTCCAGGTGAACGTATGTAGTTATCGTAAAATCACATTACAGAGATGAATCCTTCAGGCAGAAGTGAGTCATAACATATCACTCTGACATCCAGGGTGTGGCACTGTCATTTGGTAAAATTCTCTTAATTGCTTCTATATTTTGTCAGATGCTGGACCGCGTAGTAATGATCGCGTTTTGTGTGGCGTTTTTTTTTTTACGGGGAATAGCCCACCCTGGCACAGGTCATCGACCCACAACGGGGCCTAAGGGGCGAAAAAATATGAGTAAGAAATTAAAATAGAAAAAAGGTTATATTAATATACACCAGGAAGATGCCGGAAAACCACCTTTTTAAAGTGAAACACAGAAGAAGACAGAGCATTCCACAGTTTGGCTGTGTGAGGAAAGAAGGATGTACTATAACGGGTTATTCTATAGTGACCGACACTCACAGAGAAACGGTGGGCACCGCGGACAAGACGAGTGTTACAAGCCCACACGACCTTGCTCGCGGTACACAGGATGCCAAATCCACCGAACATTGCCCGTTAACGTACCTGTAAAAGAGGGAGAGTGAAGCAACATTGCGGCGAAGAGAAAGGGAAGAAAGGTTATCGAACAGTTGGACAGAAGAAGAGCCACCCCAGATATGAGAGCAGTACTCAAGTCAGGACGAATGAATCCCTTATATACTTGAAGCAACTGCTCAGGAGTGAAGTAGCTACGGCATCTGTACAGCATTCCCAGCTTTCGGGAGACAGCTTTAGCAATGTTGAGGATGTTTGGCTTCCATGACATATTAGAGGAAATGGTGAGGCCTAGCATATCTATTTTAGAATTTGGCAGAATGGTAGCATCCTGAAATGTAATTGGTGACGAGATCATCTAATTTGGAAAGTGTAATTGGTAAATACTGAGTTTTATTACTATTGAATTTAACCAAGTTTCTACCTCCCCATTCGGAGATGCTGCACAGATCCGTTTAGAACAATTGTACCATTATAGTTCTGACGGCGGTGATATTTTAAAATGTCTTAGGGTAAATTTTTACTTTAGAACATGAGTCCCTAGGGGTTAACCAACATGTTTTTCCAGTTTATTTTGGTGTGTTTTAAACGAATCAGACCTTCATTTTTGGCGTAAATTGCGACCCCCCCCCCACCCCACCCCAATAGTAATGGGGGAGAGCCTGGGAAATCGGGGTTTTGGGGTGGGGGAGAAAACGAAATCGAGTCACCTGACCTAACAAAACCTAACCTAATTCCTAGCCGGGGTCTCCGCCTCCGGACCCCCGGTAGGCCTAGCTTAAACTAAACTAAATGTTTCAGTAGTTTAAAACTTTGGGGCACACCATGTCCGAAAGTACAATACCTTAATTAGAAGTGGAAGGACCCTTCTTCGAGTGGCACAGGTGCAGCACATTCGTTCTAGATGACAGTTACAGGCACTCAATAACGGTCTCGGGATCCCAGCACTTTTGCAGCCAGTGATTAACGAAAATCACAAACTTCCACAGAGGTAAGTGAGTGTGATCAAGGAAAGTGCCGTTCTAGTCTGAGATAACGTATTTACAAATCTTCGTAATTTTCTTCTTAACGTAACTCCTTGATTGATTGCAGAACCGCTGTTTCTTGTCTTTTCTAAATTTACACTGTAATTTACACTGCAGGCACTCAACGAAAGTAGGGAGAACTCCGTGATTGAGTAAAAAATCTAAAGCTTTATCGTCTTTTTCATAAAATTCTGCAATAAACTTAAAATAATCGCATGGGCACGATTGACACCCAACCTTAACCACGGTCATTGTCATACTGGTCATTGAATTTGAAATCCGTAGCTGCTTTGAAAAATATAAATGTGATTGGTTAAAAAAAATCGCGGGCTGATATCGATACATCATTGGTCACGACTGGATGACGTCAGTAAATATTGCGCAAAGATTATAATACCCACAAACATAAACTTATCAACTATGATTGGTTGGCGACTGTTGTGATGAAGAATCAGCGGAGAGGATGGGTGGAGGTCATTTATCCAGATTAGCTTTGTATATCCATTTCAAAACATAATTACATTGAACATGAACAACGGGAAATGGCAACCGGCTGATAAACAATATCGTCTGCCATCCAAAACAATGTTAAACAACTTGAAACTTCTATCTATTGAAGCTGAACAAAGTTGTTTGACATTCCGTTCATCAGTAAACAGCACGTATTGTTAACATCCTCGCCATCTTTTTTATCGTCCTGCACGTGTGCAACGTACAATACATAATGATTTCTAAGTTGTCTTAAGGAAATTTTGAAAATTTGTCCATGCTCGGGGTTTTTGAGGTTTCGCTCGTGAATTTTGTCCACAAACTGGTATTAAAGGAAAATACATAGTTGGGGGAGACTCAGCTCAGTTTTAATGCCGTATTACTTTATTTACTTTTATTCTCTTCGCCGCTTGGGCGGTCGGTCACGCCTGTTGTGCACTGTTGGTAAGTACTAGGCAGTGGGCATGTACTGACTCCTGAATGTATCTGAAGTTCTGAACCTGCTCCAGTGTTGGTCAAGTCTTGTCTTGAAAGCACTCGCACTTGGTGCCGTCACAACACGTTAATTTAATTGGTTAGGTTATATAAAGCCAATGGGAATCCACGCCCATGTCCACGTTAACTCATTAGAAACAACGGGAAAATTATCACTGGCTTCATTCCCATGATAATAATATAAAAATTATATTTAATTGTATACAACTCCACGATACTTTCCCGCTTTTCTGATTAACGAATCAACCAATCAGGTTCTGTCGTTCCTCTGATAATACCTGTTATATATGAATATGGTATGCACAACCCTCTTTCTCACTCTAACTATACACCTGAACACGCTAACAATATGATATCTTATGAAATAAAGACAGTTATTTATTTCAACGAGAGGTTGTGAATGTGGCATCAACCAACGACGGCAACACTGTCGGGTTGGGCTACACCACACACCATGGTGTTTACATTTAGCAGCTGATCGTCGGCACACTTCGTCAGGTGAGTAACAGGTGCACACACTCTCTTATCTTTATCTCACAACTGCATCATAACATAAGGCTAACACGCTCACGTTATAGTATAAATTGGTGTTTTATTCCCTGATGTATTAGATTATGAGGTAAGTTAGGTGTAATATATGTATGTATTAACTACTGATCTATATACGCAAATAGGGCATGAAGTGCCAAGGTCTCGCTCTAGTCTTGGCTCTCGGGGTTAATTTTAAACTCAGAATCTTCACGTAAACTTAATTGAAAAAAGCAAAAAGAAGATACTGTCGAATAAAACTTGGCCATATTTGAGTTGAGAAACTGGCTGAAACTAGTGACCTCCTAATTAAACTTTTTGTTTTATTTTTACCAACGTGAAAACTAAAAAACTTCAATGAAACAAGGACGGGGTATGGTATGGTATGGTTTGGTATGGTCACTAGACAGGAGAAGGACAAAATGGCTACCAGCTCCCCACTTAGCTTAGCCAAACTTAACATCAGCTGTAGTTTTTCCAGCAGCTTACATTTTTCTTACCAAAGGATGGTAGTGAACTGTTGCCACATGATAACTTTCCTTTGCAAGATTTCAGGTGTGTTAATAATTGTGTGTTATTAACAATAGGCATTTTGTTGGTACTTAGCCAGGTATTGTTCCACTGATGAGGTTTAAGAAGGGCCTTTGTTTATTTATGGATATTTTGTGTTGTCTTTCCCTAGGAATTTCACTGAACAATTGTATTTGTCATTGAAATGTAAATCTGGTGATAGAGAATGGAAAAAGATGGAATTAAATAAGAAGTGGCAAGTAGGCTTTGGCCTCACCTTTGGTCCTTCAACAATAAACTGAAGATGCCATCTGTAAGCTACCGGGACAGTATTGTATTTGCAATTCTATCAGAACTGAACCATTGGGAGATGTGCACACTATCAAGAGTATAGATGCCACTTTTTGGTAAGCCATACAAAATAGAAAAGCCCATTGAATTAAATTTTTTAATTTTAATGAAAAATGAGACTGGAGGAAATTTAAGATTTCCATTACAGTATTTGAAAGTACTATAGTATATGGTCTACCGAGCCGGAGTTAGGTTATATTAAGATAGATTATGTAAGGTTAGGTTAGGTTAGGGTTAATAGATGCTACAGTGTAAATATCCCAGTAGACCAACTCAAGCTCGGTAGACTGCGTACTAAGCAGCACCTTAAAAGTAATACAATGGAGAGTGAAATAAGGGAGAGAACCATATAAGGAAGGAGGGTGATTGGAGAGCTATTAAGAATCCTTAAGGGAAGGATGGTAAAGAGAGTGTACAGTACAGTAGTTACAGGGACAATGCAACAGGTGTGAAATCGAGGGAGACCGCCATCCACATCCTCGGGAAGAAAGATGATACTGTCCAATGTTTTACGGAGAAAACTTGAGAGGTTAAAGATGGAGTTTAGGGACTGGACAGCCTGGAAACTCCCCTATCATGGCCAACCAGTTTATTAGTCATTTTACTGTATTTGTTGATGCATAAACAAGTATGTTTCCTTTATTTTTGCTTTTGGATGTTAGCCAGTTAGACATTTTATGAAACTATATGAAGGCTGCATTCTGTGTCCACCATTTATAAGATCTTAAATTATACAGTACTGTACTGTGTCTTTTCTTCTGAAGTATAACTGGCCCCCACCTTCCTAAGAGGGGAACAGAGGAATGCATGCTTTGTGTTCATGTCTAGCCATATAGTTTGTCCATTCCTGTTTCAAGGACTTGTAAACAAATAACTCAAACAAATGGAGATGGATTTCAATCAAACTTGGTTCAAGATAGACCACAAGATTTCAAATTACTGTACCTGGTTGTTGAAAAATCAGCTTCTTTTGTTACCATTGCCCAGATTTATAGCCCTTTGGCCTTTGCTCTATTGTAGCAAGGAAGTTATTCACCATTAGTGATTACTTTGTTTATTTTATCTCCAATACTTTCTTACTATAACATACTGTATGCTTATTTGTAAATGCAGTTAAGTACAGTATATTCAAAGTGATTGAAGTATGATTTAATACAGTATATCTTTTTTTTTTTATGCCAGACGATTTTACTCAGCACAAAGGGTCATACTGGATAACCTCCTTCCCATGTCTGTCCTGGACCAGGACTTGAACCCAGAACACAGTTGTGAGAGATGTGCACATTACTATTGTATAGTTGGGCAAATGTGTTCTTACACCCCATGTGGTAACCCATGTCACCAAATGGCAACGCTGCAGTAGTACTGTATCACCATTTGTGAATGAATAGATATTGGTCTTGTATAACGATGGACGTGATAGGTGGATGGGTTTGCTATAGGGGGTATGGGTCATATAGGTTGGCCGTTTGGAGCCACTGGTTACCATGGAGCGCATGAACACATTTCCACAACTGTACCACCATTGTGAAGGTACATTTCTGAAATATTGTTCCAAATCACTTTTTTTTATTCATTTGTATTTTTTTCAGATTGTAATGGCTGATGTTTATACCAATCCAGAGAAGCATGTGGTACTTCACAACAATGTTAAATTGCCTGTTCTTGGCTTAGGTAAGAAGTTATGTATAAACAAAGTAATTTTTTTTGTAATGCTGCATATCTGTCCAATCCTTGGAGCTTTTTTAATTTCTCCTTCTCCCTCTTTGTCCAGCTGACCTTTGATTGGTCCTGATCCTGTTGTTTAGCATTACCCATAGCCAGGCAGCTCAGAACCTCCCACATCCCATAGATTACCGGGTAGTGCATGAGTCAGCTGGACCTGAATTATGATTAATGTTTTGGTTTCAGCAGTGGTAACCCCTAGTATGGAATATGCTTGTTAGATAAGTTCAGTTTATCTAAAATATCTTATTTCCAAAAAAAAAAAACTGCTTCATCAAAGCATCCAAAATAAGGGGAAGGTGTGTTGGGTATTCCCAGAGTAGTTAATAATACATTTGGGTTGGCATAAACAGGGACTGGAATGTATATCCTGGTTTTCTGATCAGCAATCTGTGCAGTACTGTACTGTGTTACAAGAAGTACCTGGTTATTGGCTTTGCTAAAAAAATGGGATTTTAAAGTCAATTCATCATTTGCAGTATACACATTACTGTATCTGTATTTATATACTTACATAAATACCTGTACACACATATAATACAGCTGCTCACATCTTGTCCGAGGATGGCTGGCCTTAGGGCCACCTCAGCATGAAATTGTTTAAGTTGTCACGAACACAAAACATCTGGCCAACTTCACTGGCTAACCATTACCTTAGAACACAATCTGCAAATTGATTTGGATCCAGGTTCCCAGTTACTGTTGGGTAGACTGGGGTAAATGGTGTAAAGAAACTTAAATACATATACAGTGGGGTATGCTATAACGAATCTAATTGGTTCTAGAACCTTGTTCGTTATAGCATTCGTTCGTTATAGGATTAATCCGTTCCAGGCCCCCAAATACAACCACCTTATAGCATACCCCACTGTACATACTGTACTGTACATGCATGTACAGTACAGAGTATACTTTTATACAGTCATTATATTGGCAGTCATGTCACGATTATGTTTAAAATGTATTAAGCATGAAAAGTAAATAAATTATAGGTTATGGGTACATATGGTTATGAGTTTGTCGTGCACTCCTGTATTGGTCAGTGAACTTAACTTACATTGTATTGCAGGTACATCTCATAATGGTGGATACAGCCATGAAGCTGTGGTTTATGCTCTGAAAAATTGTGGTTATAGACACATTGACACCGCTAAACGATACGGCTGTGAAACATATATCGCCCAGGCAATTAAGGTAATATACTATACCTGTATTTGTTTATATGTATGACTTTATTCGTTTACCACTTTATTATTTATCTTACTTTTTACTCTTCACCACTGATTGGCCTGTTAGGCGCTTGGGAAATCAATCACATCTTGTTACACACTGTTGGCAAGCACGTTTGTGTGTGTGTGTTAATATTTTGTAAAATAAATATTGTTGTCAGTTCATATCTATTACAACATGCAGTATACAGTATACAAAAAATAGCAAACATTCATATCCTTCAGACTTCAGGTTGCACCAAATATTATTTCTCAGTACTGTACTATACTCTTATTTTCTTTTGATCCACAAATTCTTAACTGTCAACTCCCAGTAAGCTAAAGTTGACAACCTTGGCCAGACTATAAGTTGACAGCTTTGACCTGGTAAGGAGTTGATAACTTTTCAAACTTGCAGGCATCAGGGGTACCACGGGAGGAAATCTTTTTAGCAACGAAATGTTGGCCAGCGGACTATGGCGCTGCCACCACCAGAGAAGCCTTTAACGGCTCCTGTCAAAGACTAGGAACAGATTACCTCGGTAAGTGAAATTCAGTTGGTGTGCCATGTTGCCACAGATTCTTAAAAGTGTTTATGATTATTCTGTCGTATATTAACCTCACAGTACAGAAGTTTTTGCAGTTCCCATACAGTATACAGGCCCCAGTGATGTGGGTTTTAAGTACTGTATAGAACTGTTAGTGTATTGCAGTTATAGTATGTTTCATGTTGAAATATGTGTACATTATTTATATGTCATGAGTAATGAACTGAAATTTACTTTAACTAAAGAATATGACAATGAAATGGTTAATATTTACCTACTAGGAACAGTATTTGCTATGATAACTCTGTGTATATAACAATACTGTAATAATATCACAGTAGTCTAAGTCTCTTTTGTTGTGCATGATTTAACTTTTCTTTACCATATGCTTGACATCTTCCTTCATTGATAGATTGTTGTATGCTGTATTGGTTAAAAGATAATTATCAAGGTATTTTTTATTTTATGGGCTTCATAATATTAATGTTTCTCCTGATGTTATCCCTAGATATGTACCTCCTTCACTGGCCAGATGTCCCATCAGGTGTAAAGGACAAAAAGAAACTCTTACAGGACACATGGCGGACGCTGGAGGTCAGATGATTCACCTATGTCAAGAACTTGTTGATATTGTATAGAAAGTTAATATTCATAAGAAAAGCATTCTTTGGTGCTGCTTATAAAGTCTGGAGCAGTGATTTGTTTACATGTACAGTAAAGTAGTATAGGAAAAGTAATGACTTTAATTATATCTTTGCCCTAAGTTTGCTGTTCTTAAGAATATTTATCACTGTATTGTGATTATTTTCTTTCATCCTTGATTTTTTTTGACAATACAGTACATGTATTTCAAAGGGAAATTAGACTTGTTTTATGTTTAGGAATTTTCAGTATGTTTTTGTGTTTTATTATACTGTATACCTGCAAATTGGAACATATAATGGTATGTATAATACTGTCTGTCTGTTAAAATTTAGGTTTCAGAAATGCAATAGAGTTTCTTTGTATTGATGGAAATAATATTGCAGAAATCTTTTGCCCCTAGAAAGAAAAGTTTCCTATTTATTTGTAGTCACAGTATTAGTCATCAAGGGGGCTTCCACAAATTTTGGAGGTGATACTCTGTTTTACTTTTTGTTCTTTGGAGTTGTTCATGAGATAACTGAAATTGAAGTTGGGTTTTCAGTTCCGTTATTGACCAGATGGCATGCATAGAGGTTTTTTATTTTTGTGCCACTTCTTCAGTTGGGAATACATTTTCCAGCTAAAGGTTTCATAGAGTTACACAGATACATACAGTATCAAGAGAAGTAAATCACATTTTTCAAAACCTTTTTATTTTCCCAGGTGTTACTTGACGAAGAGCGAGCAAGAGTCATTGGTGTGAGTAACTTCTTGGAGCATCACCTGGAAACAATCATGGATGAGTGTTCTGTTGTTCCTCAAGTCAATCAGTGTGAGTTTCATCCATACAACAACCCTAAAAAACTCCGTGCCTATTGTGCAGAGAGGAACATACAGTTTGAGGTGAGATAAATGATGTGCTGTGCTAGTTAGTATGGGAGTTTTAGTTACCGGGGTATTCAAGGATAAAATTATAATAGTTTTGATAATTTATAAATCTGTGAGGAGGAGGAGTTATCTTATCATGGAAGCATATCACAAGTAATGTTAAGCAGGACTGTATTGTATAAATGTATCATGCAGTGTTTAGATTATGTGAGGTGTGAATAATATTGGTTGGTATTGAAAGCTAGTGTAAAGTGTGTATGTTTGTCTGAATGATGAGTTTACAGTTTCAAGGTAAAGTCAGATATGAATATATTTACACTGCTTAATATCTATACACTGTGGAGGCTAAGAATTCACTTTATATACTGCTTGTGCAAATTGGGACAATGAGGGTGTTTGTGCGTGTGAATGAAGTATTTATACCTATTGTCTTAGACCTTTCATGTTATTTTCTACACCTACTCCCCATTTATTTGTCCCCCACCTCACCTGACATTTCTCTGTTTCTTTACCTTTTGATTTACCATTCACAAAACTGGGATTGGGGTTAATAGAATATAGTTACTGTGAGAAGTTGGAAGGAGGTCATGGTTAGCTTAGGTCACTTAGTACAGAGTAAAGGGATTGAGTATTAGATCTGCTGCCAGATATACAAAATACAGTATTGATAGTGAAATGATGAAGAATATCGGAACTGACTGTAGGATATGGAAAACGAATGTGACTGCAATTAAGGAAAATGGAGATGTTTTTTTTGAGAAAGGGAGATTATGATGCAATTAAAAGGTTGTATTGGGTAATAAAAGGTATATGTTAGGGTTATACTTTTGGTAAGAATGGTGGAATAGAAGCCAATTAGAGTACATTTTTACATTGAGGAATCCTTTGGAAGAGGAACAAAAGAAAATGTGAGTCTTGACATAGTTGTGTGGAGTGGTGTCATCTGCCTTCTGTATGCCAGTGGAACAGGTACTGTATGTTACAGCATAACGTACATTAAAGTGTGGGCAGGTGAAATTAATTTGTTGAAGTTTTGAAAGTACAGTAGATTGAGTAAAGGATGGTAGAATCAGAGGAAAATACAGTACTGTTTTGCAATAGGGGTTGATTACTAAAGCACGAAAAGAAATGTGGAGGTAATATGACTGAGTATCATCCTTGGTTCTGTGTGTTCTCACTTGGAGTCGGTGAATGATATGAAGAGTGAGTTTGTTGTCTGGATAGCTTTGTTATTACAGCAAATTACTGTACAGTGATCCCTCGGTTAACGAGCGCCTCGGTTAACGAATTGCCTTCCATAAGATTCTTCACTTCGGTTAACGAGCAAACCCTCGGTTAACGAATTCCTTACAAATTTTTCCCAACATGTTTTCACTTGCATTTGGCTGCCCACCAGCTGTAGTATTATTCCGCCAATACAGTAATTGGTTCTAGGGCTTAAATTCCTTACCATTTTAGTAAATATCAAGAAAGTTGTACTATTCAATAATATAAAAAGTTTTAAAATAAATTTTTTAGTCATTTTAACAATTATTGAACATAATTGAAGTACAGGAAACTAGTTTTTTGCATGCCAAACAGCCACTCAACACACCAAGCTTGGCGTCAGTTTGTTTACCAGTTCAGAGGAAGGAACATCTTGTTTGAGACTCTTCAACATAAACTCTTCTTTTCTGTGTTTCCAGTCAAATTATTGGTCATTTTGAAATATATTTTACATATTGATAATATATAGCGCAGTGCAGTATTGATTTAAAGAAAATAATCTTGAATTACACCAAGTGAACTAAAATTTTATGGGTGAAATGGCGACATGGGGTGATTTCTCTTCCACCCCAATGCCTTCTCTTCTCCCTTCTCCTCCACCCCCATTCTAATTCCCATTATCATCATCAACAACCAGGAGCCTTCTACATACACACCTCAAAGTAAGTGTACTTTACTGCATTTATTTTTAGTTTGTATGTAATTTTCGGTGAGCTGGAACTAATTACCCAAAAACCCAGTGAAACAATGGTTTCGGTTAACGAATTTTTCGGTTAACAAGCAACCTTCTTGAACGAATTGTGTTCGTTAACAGAGGGACCACTGTATTAAAATTTTATTTGGTGTTCTGTTTCAGCAAGAATGTTGTTCTGTACTGTACAGTACTACTGTAGTTTCAGGAAGCTGTTTGAGAAATATGTAATAAGGTCTCTTCGGTATTCTTTTGGTGATCTGTGGAATGCAGTAGGTAGTTGGAATTACTGTACTTATATGTACATAGTTATGTCTATACTATAGTGTAATTTTTTTATTTACTCTATTTTTTTTTCATTTATAATATTATAGTTACAGCCAGAGTGATAGTTTCTATGAAAGGAATACCTGTACTGTATATTGATTTGGTTTTAAATTTTTTGGGGTGAATCAGGGCTATTCTCCACTTGCTAAAGGCTTGGCCTTAAAGAACACTACAGTGAAGAGCATTGCTGAGGATTGTGGGAAAACGACGAGCCAGATTCTTATCCGCTGGAACTTGGACAAAAAGATTCCTGCTATCCCAAAATCAACTAGAGTAGAGCGAGTGTTGGAAAATTCTCAGGTAGATTATAAATCATGAACTACAAGCTGTTGGGAAAGAGGACGTTGTGTGAAAAGATTTCTGGGTGTGGCATTTACCAAGTGCAGTATTATATTTAATATATAAACAAACCTCTTGAGATAGGCAAATAATGATTAAATTTATAATTAACATTAAAAAGCATGAGATACTGTACATACCTACCTGTGTCATCCTGAAAGACATGTTTGATGTATGCTGAAGCTGACAGGCTCTTGAAGATACTTGTTTGCTGCCACATCCAGAGTTTCTTGTATATTTTTTTAGAGCCTTTGACAAACCATGAAATTAAAGTTTCATTTTTATAATAAATTTCAGATACTCTTTAATTGGCTGTCTCTGAATATATTGTGTAAGGATATGACTATGTTTTCAGAAGAGATTGGAAAGGAAAGACAGATTGCATCATTTATGGCAAATCTACTTTCGTGCTTAGGATACCTTCGTTTATATTTTTTATGACCTGTAAGATCCGCACCATTAGATCACCCCTGACAAACTCCACCTTTTATTATAGAGCCTTAACATATTTAACAGCAAGAAATATTATGAAAATGGACAATATCAATGATTTTTTTCAGTGCAGGTAATTTCTTTTTAACCCAGTCAAATTAAAATCGTTGATTCAAATCCCTTTTGATCTGGTTGTGCACTTAAGAACCATTGAAGCTTCAGGTTAAGGGTTGAATCCCCTTCAGCCATAAAAGGAATTGCATGCTCCTGCCATCAATTCCTGCTGTGACACCAAACCAATAAGAGTTACACCTTGTCTTACTTAGGCAGTGCTGCTGTGTCCAGATTAATTTGAAGATGTATGAACTTAAATTGTAAGGATTAAAAGTTCTGCATTTAATATCCACCAGTTAATGTATTCCTTTTATTTGGATATGATTATGTGCTTCCCTTGTTTTGATAAATTAAATTTGTGAAATCTTATGAGGAACTTGACCACAGAAATTACTAGGGATGCTCAGATGTTTGGATGTGATGGTTACAGACAACAGAATTGTAATTTCACAAAGACTGAGGATTACTTCTAGATTTACCACAAAACCACTTGTGGCTTTACTTCCTGCCTTGCAACCCAAGGGTAGTAAACTTATGGATTGCAGTAGTACATTAATATAACTCGCTCTTAATGCTCATACAGTACACATTTATGTTGGCAGAGTTTACATAGTAGTTGGGTTTTTTACCCAGACAAAGAATAATTTTGATCTTCATTATTTGGCATTGTCTACTTGGATAATGTATTCTCTTAAAAACATATCATGGCCCTCTGGCAAAAGGTGCCCACATCTGCTTGAGAGTGACTTAAGGATACTGTATGGATTTTACAGGTCAATCATTTCTTTTCCTCAGTCATCAAATGGTACTTTCTGCTTCAATCCTTTGCTTTCATCTTCCCTTATAATAAATGACTAAAAATTTACTATTAAAATCTCTCTCAATGCTTTTCTGTATCATCATTTAATGGTATAAATCTCAGTTATAACTCTAGATGTGATATTTTTGGCACTCGATATAATTATGTCCTCTGTGCTCCTGTTCAAGGAGCTGCACCTCCTCCTGAACAACCCATCGTGCTCAAATATATTCCTGGGCAAATTATTCCTTTACTATACATGGCATTTTGAACTTTATATATTTTGCTTGTTCTTTGTAGTTTAATCACGTCTTCCACATTTTCTATATTTTGAGCTTTTTTTTTTCTTTAAACACAAACCTCAAGCTTTAAATTTCCTCTGAGTCTCGTCTCCTTTGAAGTATCTTAAAGCAATCAGACCGAAACCCCTCAGACTAAAATCCTATTGTTTTCCACTCGCACTTCATCATTCGTACAACCCTTCTACCACCATTAGCATCACCAACCCACATTGTAGATCATCAACATTTCCACTATTTACCGTACAGTATATAAGATGAAATCCTTCGCATGTTTACTTTAAAAGAAATAACATTGAGAAGTAACTGGAAGGTTGTACGCTATTGGATTATGGTGGACTCAAATACTGTAATGTCCATGTTTTATACCGAGACTGAAAAGATACGCGAGATGACGCTTACCGGTAGCTGCCTAAATCTTAAAATAAGTCACAGGAAACATTTGATAAAAAAAACTCACAGTAGAGAGCAGACAGTGACAAAGAGATCTCCCTGAAGACTGACAATGCTAGCCAATAGAAATTCGTATGAGTATCGAAAATTTTTATAATGGTTGTGTCTCATTTGGCTGTCATGGCTAAGGTAAATGTCTATAAAGCATGTAAGTCAAACCTAAACTCTGAGTGAAGTATTTTAGGGTATAAACAGTATTTTGACTAGTTATTACAGATTCATCACAGTATTGCCAAAAATTATGACATGCCTTCATTTACAGCCTAATCTTATCAAATTAATTGCTATGAAAAAATCATTAATTTTATATTGTAGGGATACTGTCCACTAGGCAATGGCCAAATTCTTAATGAACCCCAAATTCAAGAGATTGCCGATGTGCACAACAAATCCCCCGCCCAGGTCCTCATTCGTTGGAATCTTCAGAGGAGAGTTGTGTGTATTCCAAAGTCCACCAAGGAGCACAGGGTCAAAGAGAATGCTGAGGTAGTGGATAAAGGGCATGGTAGTGTTTTATGGCTTGTGAACTTAATGTTTGGTAAGATATGGTAGTGTTTGTAAACACTTGTTCAAGAGAAGATAGTAATGTTTTATGGCTTATAGACCAAAATTTCCCCATTGATTACCAAGGAAGAGCTTCTAGTAATGTTTATTTATTTAGGCCTTTCGAACTGTCAAAAACCAAAGTACATTACTTGTACAGTTCACTTCATGAAATTTTTTCTCTAAAATGTAAAATGCATGCAAAGTACTTATCACTGATTATTTTTGGAGAATGTTTTTACTGTAAAGTATGAAATTATCCGTCATTGATCACTTCTTTACTCATTTTTCATTATAACCTGCAAGATTTTCACTCACCTTAAAACCTGAAACTTTATCATCTTTAGTCTTTTTTGTTTTGAATTAAAAATTATCCCAGCATGTGATAGGTTTTGACTATAATACATTTCAGTGAAGAAGCACAAAGCAGAGTCAAATGACACAACATTTTAAAGATAAACTTTTAGTTATCTCAACGTATAAAACAATTCTAGAGGACTGAGGTGTTACAGATAAGATGTAAGGATCACTTTTAAAATTAATGAGAAAAATGGAACACAATAACTCCATCCTTTATGTGGGAAGTTGACCAAGTGACAACATTGTTGCTAAATACATGTACTGTACTGTAAAATTTGGCATTGTGAACTTTCACTGCTATTCTAGGACTTATGTTACGTTTTACTATGCTTGTGAACGTTGGAATCTTCTCCTTGGTGTTAAAACAACTTTGTTTTCAGTACCTAGCTATTAAGTGCTTTATTACTGACTAAAGCACATGCAATTTCTTTTGGTTACTAAAACATTGTAGTGTATTTGTAGAGTTTCTTCTCTGTACAGTACTTTTAGAGTGTTGTAACTTTTGACCTTTACAGGTGTTTGACTTTGCTCTGTCTCAAAAAGATTTGGATGCTCTTGATATTTTACACTGTGACCTTCATATGTCATGGGACCCAAATTTACTGAAGTGATGTTTTCCATAACCCTTGTGGCACCTCACACTCACACGCTATCCTTGAGGAGGTATGTTTGATGTGGAGTGCACTAATTTTTTGAGGGATGGTTAGTTTCACTTTAGTTTTTAAAAGTTTATTGGTCCCTCAAGTTCAGTCTTCATATATACTTTTGGCTCTTGTTGAAAAAGTAATTGAACATCTATACTCTACTGTATAAAGATGTTGCAGGGTGGAAAATAAGAGTTCTAGCCCTCCTTCTATAGTGGAAGATTTAAGTATTTACTAAAGACTATTTAATGTTAGTTTGTAAGCTTATCTAGTACTTAAAAAAAAAACAGTTTACATGTATACTATGCAAATGTTAAAATCTTTCATTGTTTTTATATGTGAATAGTGTATGTATGAATATATCAGACTGATGGTATTCAGATTCAAAACTCAGTTTTAATTGCGATAACTTCTTTGCTTTATCCACCTACCATATATATTTACTGTACCGGGGTACTTATTTTTAAGTTTCTTGTGGAAGTCCTTTTATCTTGAATCAAAATTTACTCGGCATTTTCTCCAATCATTCATGTATTAAACACAGTTTCCTAGATATCATAGTCATGGTTTACAGCTTTCTTACTGAAACTGTTATTATCCTTGTGTTGTCTACATGTTACAGTATTTTAAGTCTAATATCTCATTTTTATTTTGTTTTATACTAACACCACCACTAAACATAAGCTGTCACATTGTCTCCAGAATTTAATCATTAGGGAACCAGAGTGATTTAGTGTTTCTTTCTTACTTCAGCTTTAATATTGTATTAGTTGACCTATTTAGGGACTAAAATTTATTGTACTGTACCTGTATTTGGTTCCTTATTCAGCTGTCGCAATTCATAGAACTTGGTTGCTGGTTCCTAAGTGATTCTTGAAACTACAGTGGCAAATTCTCAAAATATTTTGATTACTGAGGTGCAGCTTCTTGAATAACCAGTAAAAGTGGCATTAATTGTGTTGATTGTTAATGTTCAAGTTTCTGACACATTGTAACATTCTTATGCATCTTTTTGAGTACTGTACTAGTCTTCCCTTTCTCTCAGGTGTTTAATTTCGTTCTCACGGATGAAAACATGGCAAGATTGGACAATATGGCACAAAATTTAACCATCATGGATCCCAGTTCTATACAAGCTAAGATTGACAACCCCTTACCTGATGGATACAAGCTCAACATTATCAATGTACCAGCAGAACCATGAAGCATAACTTGAAAGGTACCAGGTGTTATTATACCTTTTGTCTTTATGAATGCAATTGCTGATCTCTGCTTTGGCTTGTCTGACAGTAGACTGAACTGTGTCTTCCAGAAGATTCGGCTTCATGTTGGAAGTCAGGGTTCAGCCTAGTTTGTGGTATTTGAGAATGAAGTTTGGATATGCTATAGTTAGGTGACAAGGAGAATACAAGCAGTGGAGTTGCTTGCAAACATTGAGTCTTGAAGAGAGTGCACTGAATGAGGTTTGAGGCTTTAAGATGAAGTTACATAAAATAGAAAGGAGAAATTAAAAAGAAATAGTTGGAGTGTAGGTCACTTGGGTATGTGTAGATGATGGTTGAAAAAGAGAAACATAAATCGAGTATAGAATAGTGGGGTGATAGCAATTGAGATCAACTGGGAAAGGTAAAATAAAGGAGTAATGAAACAATGTGGTGTTATACATGGACAGGAGTGCACAAAGGAGACTGAACCTGTCATTTGGGTTATAGGAGACAATGGTATAGATTTAACTTTTGCAGGACACACGCATATTAATTTTATAATCTGCCCCTCATCCTCAAATTCTGTTTTGTACTGTCCTTCAATTACTGCTATTATCTCATTCTATTCTATTTCTTGTTAGTTCAATTTATTTTTTCTATTATAATCACTTTTTAATTTGTGTTTTGTCTTCAATTGTATTATGGATAAAACAATGCTCATTACATTACACATTCTTCTTCCAGCTGCCAGTTGAGACTGCTTTACTTAGTGAATGGCAGATCAACCACTAGAAATTTTCAACAATTTTTTTTTGCATTTTTGTTTTGTCTTTAGAACTGGAAGAGACGTAGTGATAGTAACTGAAGTGTTTTTGAACGATACCGCATATTTTTCCCTTCAATGGATACTCAAAAGGTAACATAATGTAAATGGATAGAAATACCTGTACAGGTACAGTATTATCTGCACAGAAATTGAAGTTGAAGCATGTACTGTACTTGGAGCCAGAAAGCATTACAGTAGATTATAGAATGACATTGTCAGCAGATTCTGCCATATCAAGACTACTTTATAGGGAAGTTGATGGTTTGTATGGAAATGATTTAAGAATTTTACATTAATTTCATAAAATGTAAGGGCATTCTTATTAAAAATAGACGAGTGACATTTGTCTAATTTTCCACTTTTAAATTTATTATAAGTTTGAAGGTTGGTACGTATAGTGAACTGTTCGCAGCTCTGGTTGGTGCATTGACAGTATAGTATACAATTGGGAAGAAAAACAAATGCGAACTTCCAATTTTTATTGTGCTGTACACTGTCTAAAGTAGAGTAAGAAGATCATGACTAGCTTAATTCATTTTGAATTTTTTATAAATTCTGAGTTAAAATGTTAAACCCTTTAAGAGTTCTCTGTAGTATAAAGAGGAAGGCTATTATGGTAAGTTTGTTAGCAGGAAACAAAACTGTAAGTCTTGTGAATAAGTAGTCGGGAAATGATTTGCAAATGCATATTTAGACAAAGGTGCACAAGAAGATACAAATAGCCAGCAACACGCACTATATAGTAACAAAAGATCACGTGTTCCTTTTTTATAAAATGTTCTTCATATATTTAAAATCAATTCAATGCAGGAGTAAAACAATACAATGGAGTCATGATAATTTGCAGGTTAGGTACCAGAAGACATGATGAATTATCAAACCATGAATTATTTTTTTCAGGAAAATATAATATTTTTATGATAATTTTGTATTAACCTGGCACCAATTGAACTTAAATATTATGGTGAAATTGCATACTGATGTGCTAAAGGAGTCGCAGGGTGACAGAGCACTACGGGAGCAGAAGGGAAGGAATTTTTCGCTCAGTCCAGCCACCCAACTGCCCTACCTCCCATCTTTCCTGCACAGAATTCACTAAACACTCTTCAATTTTGTTATTTTATAGTTTTATATTGTATTTCCTTTATTTCTAAGTGAGCTTACAGCACTAAAATGATATTGCCACAACTTTCATGGTTTCTTATGGAAATAAACACTGCAGCAGCTGTCACTTGGCCACAAATGACGAGTAGCTGACTATGAAATTTTAAAGAAGACATGGTAATAGTTACCCATGAATTTAAGAATGAGAATCCATATTTCAGGAATTAGCGTGACTCCACTGTAACACCAAGCTAGAATTTTACTGGCAAATTACAATTCAGTTTAGTTGGTTGATGTTCCAAATTTTAGGCAAACACTACACAGAGTTTTGGGAAGTCCTTTGAATCAAGAACCCTGGCTTGATGAATTTCATGATTAATGAAAATATGCAAAAGGGGGTTAGGCCTAATTAAGCGTATTTAAGGAGATAAAAGAAAATGAAACCACATAGTACAGTACTGTACTGGGCTCTCTAGTAAAATAATGTTGTACATGATGCAATGTGTTGAACAATAAGGAGAAGGCAATTGTGGTTTATAGTAGACAAATATTATATATATATATATATATATATATATATATATATATATATATATATATATATATATATATATATATATATACTGTACAATTAATATCAATTACTTTCAGCATACCAAACAACTCACTACTCAAGTATTATGACAATAATTACATACAGTATAACTACTGGTAATATGCAGGTGACCTTAAAGCTGAATAGAAATAGCAACTGAAAATGAGACGTTAATATTTTCTTCAATATGTATAAATAAGAATTATCCTCGAGACTGTAGTGTACTCCTATTCATGGTATGTACTTTTATCATCACAAATATGACTACAGTACTGAAATACACATATATTTTTATACAGTATATAGATACATATCTTGTACATTTAAAACATATTTTTATAATAAGCTAATTATGAAGAATATTCAGTAGTATCTGGCACTTCACATTGTGGCCACAAACACTAAGGCCCATATCTTTGATATTTATCTCAGCAAATGTTAGATTGCCAACCAGTCTCTTCATTGGACATACACTCTGCCCTCAAGAAACTTGGTACACCCATGTCTTAATTTTAACATATTATACAGCTATTAATTGATGATCATTAACTGCTACAGTAACTGAAAACCTCTAGGCAGTAATAGCACCATCCAGTCCTGATAACTTGCAAATCAGCTTTTAAGCTACAATGATTACGGTAATACTATATTATTATTAGACCCTCCAGATATTCTTAGAAACTGTAAAAACTAATGTTAAACAAAAAGTTTGTCATTTAATAATTCTAACTCGAGTAAAAATATTAAAAAAAAAACAAATGCTATATGAGGAACTCCACATGACAAGGGGAGCCTGCCATGGGTCGATAATTTTGTTTTCTAAGTCTCTAGATAGCTCAGTCCATGCTGTATAATACAAGAGTGATATTATTTGGCAGGTTCACCTCTGTCAATTCGAAAATCAGTCATATGATGTCAGTCTAGTATTGTAGAGCATGGACTGAGCTATCTGGAGACCCTTTGTATTGCGGAGCACCTTATATGAACTACCGTAACACACTTTACTGTATATTTATTTTTGTCAACATTTTCATCACCAGCTTAATCAATGATTACTTTCTAATTTTACTGTTAATAAATAGTGTACTGTAGTATAATAAAAAGAGAACAATTTATATACAATATAAAAAAAAAAATCAAAAGTTTCTGAAGTAGTTTTGGCTGTAATGATTATCACTTTGCAATAAGATAAATAACCAATATATTTTCTGTCATTCATTCATTATACCTGCCTTACCAGAAGCATTTTACTGTACGATACTACGATGATGACCTTCCCCAACAAGGCCCGAAGATCTCCATCTGATTTACCCGCCCATACAACATTAGCATTACGCACATCCCTAAAAACCATCCAGCACCTGCTCTCTCTTCATACATGCACACCACTACTTTTCGCATCTCCAATACCTTCCTTTACCCAACCAGTCTACCTCCAATTAGTGATATAAGAAATAAGGTCAGCATAAAAGGTGTAGTACTGTATTATGTTAAATATATTCTGTCTTTGCAACAACTTTATCAAAACAACTTTCTATCACTTTTACCACTTCACTTCCTAGTGCAAAATATGCAAAAGCAGCCACATGAAGAATAATTTGTTTTCTGTTTTTATTTTGTTAACATGAAGCTAATGTGTAATGATAATTTATTATTAATATCTCTTTCTAAAATGTGCAGCATTTCTTACCTGAATGGAGTTATTCCCTAATGCCGAGTTTATTTTGACACGGTCAGAAACAAACATTGGAATGGGATAACAGCGCTTACTCACCAAGATCTAGGACATTACTCTTCCTTGTCACTGTCACTAAGTGCTTTTGCCATATTGTATCTCTAAAATATCAGTAGAATAAATATGTTACATGAAGACTTTTATGGCAGCTGTGATTACACTGATAAGAGAGTTGGGTGCGTTAGGTGGAAAGATTCCTGGTGAGGGAAGGTGGGGGTTACAGCTTGATTTTTGCCTGCATCATTCAAAGTAGCTCAACGTCACATTGGGTACAAATTTAAACATTGCATCAAATTTAAGGTTATGGACATAATCGTATCAGTTACAACATTGGATTATACATAGTGCATTTAAGTGAGTGGGGCTATTGAAATGAGTACTGTACTGTATTATAAATACTGTATAATACTGTACTGTACTGGCATTATAGTTATAAAAGAAATACTGTACATGCATAGTGAGAAAAGCAATAGAAGTGTAGAAAGTAATAGGAAAGAGCTGAAACATCAATTACGAACACTCCAATCTTTAACTTGCATACAAATTATACAAAGTGAATGGGTAAAATCCACTATCATTCTAATAATGTACAGAAAATTCATTCTACAGGTATCCCTCGAGATGTGAACGTTTAAGATGCGTATTCGTACTGTATTCACTTATACGAATTTCGTAAATTGACACCACAATTTAGAGAAACAAACGTCCCCCCTCCCCCCTTATACGAATTTGGGTCCCGGCAAAAATTCAAATTTCGCATTCTGGGAGTCAGCTGGTACGGCCATCTTGAGGAAAGATGCGCAGAGACGTATTCTTGCTCACTGATCATAACCCACCCTCCCTCCAGCATCTTTCCTTCTGGCATTCATTATGTGTGTGAAGTGATCTCTCTTTATCCATGTGTATTCGTGCCATCCTTTTGTTATGGCATCCAAGTGTTCTGCTGTATTTTCGGCTACCTGTACTACACCGAAGAAACCATGAAAGGCTGTGACACTAGAGACAAAGCTGGAGGTAATTAAGCATCATGAACATGGTGATGGCCCTACCAAGATTGGGAAACATCTTGGTCTGGCCGCTTCTACTGTGGCCACAATTTTCTTCACTCCTTCCACCTCTGGTGTGACTGTGGTGTCCTTGGCAGACAGCAGTGATGAGGTGGACAATCCTCCTCATCTCACTGAGTAAGGCCCTTACTCAGCCCACCCCCTTGTGGTGGTGAGCCCAGACTGCCCTCCCATAAGGTAATGTACCAAAGTTTAACAGTATTTTATTAATTTTATTTCATGTGTTAGGTAGTAAATTACTGTAGTTGTGTACTATTTATTATTAGTTAAGTAGGTTTTGTTCTTGCTTGTGAACCAATTTTGTGTTTTTGGTGTATGATATTGGGGTATTTTTCCCATATACTGTAAGTACTGTATTTTTCTATTTGTGATACGAAAATTCACCAAACAAATGTTTTTTGGAACCTAACCAATTTGTATCTCGAGGGTTACCTATACACAAAAAGGATAATCTGAATACTGCATTTTGTTTGTATAGGGTTGCAACACAATTCCTACATAGTAGACACTATATTGCTAATATATTTTTTACACCTACAAAGGAAATTATACTGTACATCCAGTTAAATATAGATAAAATAGTAGAACATATTCAGTCAAATTATGTAAACTAAAGATCACAGCTTGTAGAAATCCTTATGTTTAAATACTATTGCAAAGATTAATAAAGTTTTTCAGCATAGAAATAATATTCTTTACAAGTAGAATCAAAGAAATAAAATTACATTTACTGTGCCAAATGTTCTGAAACTCACGATGAAGAATTTTAGTAAAGTTTCCCTTCAGACTCAACCCCTGAAGCTTCGCTGTCACTTTACCCAAATTCTTTGCCATGGGTTTTGGAACAATGCTATAGGGGTGTAACACAACTTTTTTCTTTGATTATACGGTACATAAATGTTAAGATACGTATAGAGATTCTGCATACACACATTGTGCATTAAACTATATGGATAGTTCCTGTTATAATTGTCAACATCCTCCTGAGAGCCATCAAAATTTAATACAACAGGCCAACACTTCCAATATCACAGTGCAGTCAGGTTAACATTTTGCATTTCAAGGACTGCTGTCGTTGAAAATATTTTTTTAAACTAACTCCTAATTGGGAATGTGAACTCTACTCATTAAAAGAGTGGTGACCTACCCACACACTGTTAATAGTCATCCCCAAGAAGCTTATGAATACACATTATTTTACATATTTTGTAATGTCTACAACTATGCATTCATGGTAGATTTACAGTAATACAGCTGACATTTTATTCAGCCACAGCTATTAATTAACTCATCTACTATGTGAGGTTATGAATATTAGTACAAAGTGGCAGTATTTTGGAAATTATATGGCACTTAAGAGGGATTTGTACCTATCATTACCATAACTTCTGAGCCATCCTGACACTATTGATGTTGAATATATCATCAATGGTGTACTGAGTAGTAGTCAACTATTTACCCATCTCCATCTGACTGTTTCCTACTATTAAATAGGGTGGCATGTAAAGTCTCCTCCAGTCATTACTATGTTTGCCAGTCCACAGCACACCCATTCTTCCCTACACCTCCCATGTTCACATACTCCTTTGGTCGTAACTTTGTCACCTCTTCTTTTGCTTGCTCATGTACCCTCGGCTCTAAAGTTTAAGGCTATACTGTATAGGTTTTACAGATTCTAAACAGTCTTTCCACCAAATTCAACTGAATATTCCAAATTTTATAAAAAAAAAAAAAAAAAATACAGAAAAGGAGGCACAGCAATAGATACATCCAATGATTCAGAATCTTCTATAAATCCTCGGACTTATTCTAATCTTTAAGATTAAATAAGTCTCACTGAATAAAATCACTGCATGTAAACACACATAATATTAGGGGAAGCAGTCTGGATAAATTGGACTTTTAAAAACTATAATGTTCTCCACTTTCACTCTTGCAAATGGTTTCCCCATTATGGTACAGGGTAACTGTTTTCTGCAAATTGTCATGGGTAGGTGGCAGGGTTGCTACATTAAAAAAAAAATTGTCATTCAGTATAAACATAATAGGAACTGCTCTTGTGACATATTATGAGATACATAATGAAGTACTTCAGCTGTCATTCTTGGCACATTTACAGAGTTGAGTAAATAATTAAGACCCAGGGCAAGGTTTACCAACCTGTTGCTCACAAGCACCACTGTGTTCCCTGATAGTCTGACAATGCTCTTCTACATTGCTTAAAATCATGCTCAAGAACACAATCCTAAGAATAGCAGAAGAGCACTGTCAAACTATCAGGGAGCACAGTGATACATGTGAGCAACAGGTTGGGAACCCCTGGCCGAAGGTACCATAAGAAATGGTGTCTCTACAAATGCACATACCAGTATCCAAGGATTAACTTGCATCAATTAATTTTAGTTTACAGTTTACCACATGATAAATTTAATCCTAACATAAATTTCTTCCACATTCTTGAAGACTGAAGAAACTGAAAATGTTCTTGAAGTGAGACATTGGTTTTCATGTGCATCACCAGATTGGATCTTATATTTACTGTATAAGCTTTTTTATTTTGTATTCTATCTCTGGAACAAAGAAAAATTTTCCATCATCATAAAGTACAGGAAGTTTTTAAGATTTTTTTTTAACTTTCATAAAATACAAAAAAAAGGGAAATTGCTTTTACAATTTCCCCAGATATTGTTTTTGTTTTCCGGTAAAGAAAGACAAGTACAAAAACTTTTCTTGCTGTAAGAAAACTGAGCAAAGAGTTATGTAGTATATGATCTTATATAACTCCCATGTCAGCAGGTGACAGGAATTGTCTGAAGAACATTCAGTAAAGGCCACTTAAATCATAATAGAATATACAGAGTAATGACATTAATAATAAATACTGTATTCCAAAATCTGTCTAGATATATATTTATTATACGTAATCAATTATTCCTCTCCCATCCATGTGAGGTGGATCAGGGATACAGAGAATCACAAGCAGATTGAGGCACACAAACAATGACTGAGTCTTAATACTGTACTGTACTGTACATCTATAGCTTGGAGATCTTAATTTTTCAGAAAGGTTCTCTACCTTCAAATCCAACTCTTTTAAACATCTATGATACAAGGGAATATGGAGGAATAATTTTGCAATATTCAACCTATAGAAACAAAGGGTTGGATTTGGTGCGGAACCCTTTCAGTCATCCGAGACACAGGGATAGGGATGATTTATTTTTCAAGGTCCTGCCCACAAAGACAAAATTAAAAATACAAAACATGAGTTGTTAGAACATGTAAGAGTAGGACTCATCATCACTTCCTCAATCCTTCCCCCAGAGTGGACAAATCCACATATCCAGAGCAAAGAGTCAATGTGACTGTGAGCATGTACTGTAATTTACCTTCCCAGAGAAGTCAACAGTTACTGTATTCTCATCTGAGTTGAAAAAATAAAATGCCTTAGTTAGAGTTCAGCTGTAGAACCACAAACTTTATCAGCAACTTTCTAATCAGTTGGCCATAATTTATGACAGCAGGAGTTAATTTAGAATGTAAAACCATAAATAAAGTAAAAGATCACGATAAAGTTGAAACAACTTCATCGAGGAGTTGAGACGGGTGATCCTCCATGTTATTAAAACTCTTGATCGTCTCCAGACGCTCATCGTCCAGCAGCTTCTCCAAGCACCACTCTAATTTCTTCAAATCATACACTGCATGATTTTTGCCAATTTCCCAGTACCCAAAGCTGAGGACAGCACCTTTCCCTTAAGAAAAAAAATTACATGTTCTAAGATAAAGGAAAGTAATGTCACATACTGTACATATAAAGAAAAGTGAAGAATTTTGTTTGGATGAATCCACAAGCACGATGAAAGTTACCAAACACCTAAAATATATTTTCCTCACCTGCTAGGTAGTTAATCCTCCGCCGAGCAACAGTGCGAAGAAAAGTGTAGAATTCATGGTAATCCATCCCATGTGTGGCCCGCAACAACAGCTGACACTGCCCAACCCAATCATCCATTTCAGAACAATCTCGGATGGCATATTCAACCTGTAGTTTTGTTACTCATTTATCATTATCCTACTGATTATTTATAATGTTATGAAATCCACTTTCATACATTGTGTCATATTTACCTTCAATCAACTTTTATAATATAGTCCTTTCCATTTACAGTCACTCTGACAATTTCTAATACTGTATACTGTACTGAAATATTGTATGTACTGTACTATATTACCAAGTGTCATTACCACACATTTCTATGGTATACTTATGAAAGAAAGTTTCTGGACCAGAGATTTTGAAACTTGTGTAATACTGGGACCAGTGTCTATTAGCACACCTACATATTTATCTACACCAGCTTTAACACAACTTATACGACACTGTTCAGTAATATGTTACCTGGTCAAGGGACTCCACCAAAAAGTCCCAAGCTGTGTGAATGTTGGTACCATTTAACCAATTATGGTTAATGGAGATGGTGTCCTCCTGGAAATGACACCAATTGGGAGTACAGTAAAAGGTAATAACAATCTCATAATATTGTACATGAAAAAACTTCTAATACGGCATTCTGAGGATGGATAAACAGTAGAGGCATGACTCCCACTAATATTATTAAAATTATCAATAAATCAGGTATAAAAATAAGATACCCTTTAAGAATAGATCCTATTGCACAGTATGTCAAAAAGTAATAACATGATAAAACTGAAAATTTTATAATTACCCTAAAGAAGATTCATTTTTGTCTTTCCTAACAAGAAAAGTTTGGCTACCTCCTCTAGTATGTCACTATTCTTGCAGCTATATGCTATGGTTCAAGTTGCCTAAAAACCTTGCCTGATAAGTGTCATGTGGAGTGATGGTAATTAACTTTGTTAGATCGCCTTGGCATTTGGATGACAGAATGAACTCCTACAATACAACTGAACATAGAGGATTATATTTCCAGACATTCTGACCCTTAATACAGAACACAGAGACAAGGCATAGTACTGTAGAAACTAAACAAACACACAAGATCCCTGACACAGAAGAGAGGCAAGATAAACACTACACAAAGCCTTACAAGATTCCAGACTTGATGGTGCCATCCTGAAGGAACAAATATAGTTTCACCTTGTTCCTGGATCACCTCCAGGCGGCCCATTGCTGATGGTGCTTTTGGGTATTTGGACGAGTCACTGAGGATAATATGGTACATAAATATCTAATTTGTTTCCTCAAATTTTAGTCATATCACAGGTCTATGGCAGAAAATCCACTCAAGTGCTGTGAGCTATATTGTTATAAGCAACAAACAAAGATTCAGTACATCAGATATGAATTACCAGTATCATAAACACTTAAAAAATTTGCTAACACCACCAAACAGTACCTCAGTTCTGCAGAGTCTACATCATATATGGGTGTGCCAAATGGGTCTCGCAGGTACTGGTCCTCCCCTGGAGGGTAAAATACCCATCTCTTTCGTCCACAAACATTTGCAGACCAACTATATGATCGGAAGACATCGGCATGAAACGGAGTCCTGAAATATATATAATGTGATATTACTGTACCTCATTTTATATTTTAATTATTGCAAGAACTATTTCCTTCATTTTAGCATTTCTTGAAAGAGAGAGAGACTTCAATTAATATTGGTGACAAATATTTAGTACAGTACTGCAATCTTGAATTTTAATTAAAATTTTATATTAAAAATGTTCTGCACAGTACTATACAAACATCCTCCTTCGTCTCATCCTTTACTGCATTACAGTACATGCAACTAATAATAAAGCAATTCTCTCCCTGGACATACAACTGTAGCTCTTTAGAAGTACAGACATCAGGCACCTCCTATTAGCTATGAACTAGCATTCCTTAATGCTATAAGGTGTAAAACAAGCTCTACCAGAGCAAGGGGAACAGTGTAACAATCATGAAATTCCACACTACATTTAATCAAGATTCATGTATCAAATTCACTTAATCCTGCCTCCGTAGAGAAATATTCATTTCAGAAAGTTAATTTCATAAAAAAATTCAAACAGCAACCAAAGAGAGCATTTTAGTCACTAAAAAGTTGTTTGGTATATTGTATCAAGCAAAATATCCACAATGCCCTTAAATTTTAGTTTTGGTGGTCCTAATTACAACACAGCTTACCAACTTCCTTTCGGTCCCATATACACAAACTGATAATCATCCTGGATATCCTCCCTGACTTCCCAAAATTCATTGAGCCAATCAGATGCAAAGTATTGGAGGGTTGTATAAGCACCATAATCAGGATATGCTCGCACAAAATGCCAATCCTGAAAAAATTGCAGCTTTATTAGAACATGGGGCAGTTTGTGCTTCTTGTATGCCTGACCTAAAACACAGACATATCGTTGGTGCATACAGACATTATAGTAGTTAAAATCTACATTAAACCTATATAAAAACTGACATGCAATAATAATATAAGTACAGAAATTTAATTTATGTGAATGTTTTATTTTTCTGTCAATTCAAGATGATCTGACAGCAGAGGTGTACCACCTTCAGGAGTTAAGGGCAACTGACACTGTATTACAGAAACTAATACAGTGTATTTGATAAAAAATATTTACTGTTTATGTGATATCAAATAAGAGGGATGTTTTTGCAATTTTAATTGGTCTTAAACTTCAAGGAGAGAATAGGGTAGAGGGGAAAGGGATAAGATGACAACAGAGGATAAAAGAAGTACAAAGTGATAAGGCAACCCGGAGGCTTTTCCGTTGTGGCTCTCCAATAAAAGTGAGGCACAGCAAATAAGGTAATACTGTATATGATGTACTGTACAGTACTACTTATAACATATGATGCATACCAATTTACATGTGCACTGTAGTATCTTGCTAACCTTTCCTCACTATATAGATACAGTATCTCTGATAAACCCAAACTGTAGAATTGCCCACTCCTCTATCCCTGAGTGCTACATCAAGAAAAATTAGGAAATATCAACATTTACCTTCAAATAAAGACACTGCTTGGTTCCTGAAGGTGTTTCCCTGAGGCCTTTCCAATAATCTATATAATCCTTTAACTTGTACGTTTTTTTCTCCTGTGAATCGTAGTGCTTTTGGTCACAGTCTGCTACAGGCACTTCTGCTTCACCTGTATTGACAGCGGGACATGTTATAATATAGCTTTAGAAATGAAAATACTGTACATTCATGACAACTAGATTAATAACAATTAAATACAGTAACAATACAGTACCTTCAATTTTTCTCAACACTTAGTTTTATGAATGAGATTAAAAGAACGGAAATTTTATATATGTGCAGTACAGTAGTACAACACTGAATGATAAAAGACATTGATAAAAGGGTGTGAGTGTGGAGTGGTGTCTGGAATTTAACAATGATTAACTGGTATGGCGGAGCTTATAATGTGAATTACATATTTTATAAAAACTAAGGGACAGCTAGAAAGACATCTTGTATCACATCCTTAGCAGGATAAAATTTCTTTTTTAGTCAAGTTTGGTAGGCCAATGTTAAGTGTGGATTGGTAACTAAACTTGAATTGTCTTCCCTATATTAAAGACACTGTATGATATTCTCAGCCTCCATAATGAATTTTTTTTACAATATGGTTGTGCTTAATAAGGGCACTTACACATATTTTCATTAGAATTTATCTTCTCTTGGGGCCAGAAATACCCTAATTTGGAGGTCACAAAATAAGTTATATATTCTATGAGAAAATCTTATTTGAGGAGTAATTTAGTGCAGAGTAAATTATTACTAATTGGTCAATAATCAATCGTTTAACAGACATGGGGTTGTCCTGCTTTATTTCCATCAAATAAATTATTATTTGTCATACAAGACAAACAAGATCTCTAGAATTAGTGGCACATAGGAAGCTGATAATTATAAAAGGATAACTATCTTATAAAATATGATACTCACTTATTATTACACTGCTGTTCATTGAGTTACTATGGTATAAACATAAACAACATGCATAGTTACCAAAATTTTCTTGTAAATAGTCAACATCAGGAGTAAAAATTGGTGACACCCAGTCAGCCCTCGCCCGCCAGTCTTTGGTGAAGCTGCCAGAGAACACACATGGCTTATTTTTCTCTAAGAATTCCCTAAAGAACTCATCATACGCTATCGACTCAGAAATCCGCGGGAACGATGTAATTTTCTCGTTATATAGGCCATGGGCGTGTGACTCACAGCTGCTGAGCTCGATCATCTGGAGGTGTAAACAAACGACCACCTACGCCGCTTATACTAAAAACACCGACATATACAAAAAAATCCAGTGAAACAATATTCATGCAGGAGTATGAATAAACGTTCGTAATTAAAATGATTGAGGAAGAGTTCTTTAATACGGATTAGGGATAAGATTAGAGTTAGGTGTTTAAACAGAGCGCCACTGTCACACTGCTGCCATCTGTTGAGACTGTGTCGTCTGTTACAGTCGTCAGCAAGATGTGAGCAGTGCCAGGCGGGTCATCTCCCCAATACCACAGAAAATGTAGCTAACACGGATAATATAATGCCAGTGCGACATCTCAATAGTGTATACCGCAGCTAAATTGTATCAGTAAATAATGGAGTCACCAGAGGAAAGTTATAATAGAGATCAGCGTGAAGAAGAGTCGGGGAAGAAGAAAGAGATGGCACTCGGAGAAGGGGGACGTGATGAAAGCGGGGAAGGGGGTAAGGAAGACCCCAAGAATAGTAGCTCTTCCCTGATGCTCGGTCTGCTCGATGAATTTACAAAGATTTATTCGGATCGTCTCCAGCGCGTAGAAGAAACGGCCATGAAGTGTGACGAGAAACAGTACTGGGAGGTAGGAAAGGTTTAGTGGCATTTGATCCCTTGTGTAAATATAGTTATGGTAAAATAGATTAAAAAGGGTCAATGTAACAGTATAATTTTGTTAGACTAATTCTTTGTTTTATTTTCTTTAAATAATTAACAATATTGTCTGCTTCATTTCTTGATATTGAGTTTGAAAAGGTTATTGAACTCCTTTGATTTCTGATAAGCTTGTATGTTAACGTATATTTCTTCAGTGGGGCAATTACTAACGTTGTCGGTAATGGTTCAGTACAATACTTGATATATCAGTGGTCTGTCATTTTCATACTTGGTGTGGCATTTATGATGGTTACAATGTTTAATCCTATGTTATCTTGGATTAAGTTATTTGATGGGTTATCTACCGTGTACAATTTACTCTTTACATGTACAGTATATCATCACTTCTGTATTTTAATAATTCTCTGGTAACATAAAAGAGCTTCTGTTGTACGCCTTTCTCTGTACAGTATATAGAAAAAAATACCAATTAAACTTTGTACTGTAGCTTATCAGCTTGGGATAAACTATAAGGTGACTCGAATTTAGCAACAGCTGGACTGAAGTGAAGGAGGATCATACACTCATAGCAGGTAATCTTATCGGGAAATTAATTGGAAAATAGCAGCCACGGTCTAGTAATCCAGAAAAAAAACGTTAAATTTTTGTCAAGCTAAGACCAAGGTAGCAACTAACAAGGTCACTCGATATGAGCTCTGCTTGGCGTATTTTAAGTTTTAGTAAATGTAAACAATGTTTTGTCGTGAATTAAAAATAAATAGCCTGTATCAGATTTTGCATACTTAACATTGTAAACATTGTGGCTGATTATGAAAACATCTTTCATTTTATTGTGTGTGCACAGCGCAGATATTATCGGGTAACCCACAGGGACATCGTTATCATGTTACTTCCATGGGCCGCTATCAGCTGGTGAATCGTCAATATCGGTGTTGGATTTCAACCCTCTTCCGAATTTCACCCATGAACCTTTTCTTCCATTTAACATCTCGAGTGCTTGTGATTGTCAAACCTGTTGACGCATAATTCTTCTTGGAATATCCAAATGCAGTACGAAAATGTGGATTCGTGTGTGTGAGAGAGAAGAGATGGGATAGAATTTGTGCAATATAAACGACTAAGGAATGTTTTCTGAAAATTAGACCCTAAGCTGTTTAGTTATGGTTTCGACCACTGTCTGGCAAGGCTAAAATGATAGTCCTCGCAGTCTTAACTATAGTCGTCTGAAAATAGAGAAAATATGGCATTGGTTACTCCGTTGTTTTTTTTATGTATCAATAGCAGATTTACTAATGAGGAAATTTAGTGTCTTTAGGACGCTAACAACAACAGCATGACTGTAGAAGAATTATAAGTGAAAGCAGACGTGATGCTTGAACATACAGTAGTTGAGGATGTTCGGCGGCCTTTTGAACTGCTCGAGAGTTGGCAGAGACTCAAGGTTGCTGTAAGCAGTGACGTCACCTACCCGTGTGTAGGTTTATGTGTGGTGGGAGGGGCGCTTGAAGGATTAGGTCCCTTGAACTCATTTCCTTCTACCTGAGCTCTTCCAAAAGTTTTCTACTCGAATTTGATACTAAATGCGCTGGCAGACGTACTGTATATATCCAATTTTGATGCGTATCTTTTAACTTTATCTGTAAGAAAGTTAATTTAGGTTATTAAAACTACATACATTCCCGGTTGATCGCTCCTGCAGATGATGGCCGAGTGAAAAATCAAGATGGGAAACCTGGGTCATGGGACTAAAGAAGGGGTGTTTTGTGTGCCCGCCGCCATCACTGTATGACGACGTGACATTGCATTGCTTGCCTTCCTCATTCGATAGCTGAGAATCTCGATGATTTCCTACGATGATTTTCTCCGTAACTGGTGCTAAGTGTAATAATTTTGTAAATTTTACATTATTTTTGTGCTGTATGTTCAGTGAGCCAGTTAGAAAGAGAAAACAAATTGTTATAAACCTTTGAGCATAAGGACCCAAGTATGAAATATTAATCCTTCGGGTTACGTCTTCTCTTTATAAGATATATCGTCTGTTTTACAGATATTCTTTTGCCATTCTACCTTTATCTCAGTCTGCATCACTAAAAAAAAAGGCTGGGGATATTAACTTTATCCTCTTCACCTGGTGCTAGTTGAATGTCTCAGAGTAATTGTGATCCCTTTGTGTATGTTATTTTCAAACTAAATTGAACCGTTTCGGGACGTTCTTATATATAAGGTACGAAGAAAATTAAACGCAAGGATCTCTGAGAAACTGTAGCCGACACCATAGGGCAGTAAATGTCAAGGCGTATCATAAGATGGCAGCCTTGGGTGGTGGGGGTGGGATGGTGGTAAGCACGGGAAAGGCGACGGACAAGGCTGACATTTCCTGACACTTAGCCATTGTTGTGGTCACAGAGATAGGAAGGCTGCACTGTAAACTGGTTCACTGTTGCTGCTCACGTAAGCAACAGAACGATGGCTTGTGATTTGCGGACAAGTGTGAATATTCATTTATAAAACATTCTAAACCAATAATTAGGAAATATCACAAATGTAGTGTTGGAAATACATTGAATAGGAGCAATAAATCATTTGCATTTCAACGACAGGCTCCAAATATACCTAACGTAACCATGTACAGTATACCCCAGGATCGTTTGGTTATGTTGGGTTGGGTCTTGTCGTATGCAAACTACTGTATACGGGTTATCATGCCATTCATATTCATGTTTCTTCTCCAACGTTCATCTTGCTGTCATCTCTAGTACAATGTAGAGATTGGCGCATTGTAAATTAGTGGTTATAGTTAAATTCAGTAAGATGGATGTATTTATTAGATCTTTTCGTTGGTGCCATAAAATAGATGCCATTCAATTATAGACTTAAACCTCAAATTATGTTTAAAGTTGCAGTTCTCTAAAGGCTCAACTAAGTACCGTAATTGGTGAATGCTACGACGCCATTTTTATCTGTAGGTATTCAGATTATCTAAGCAGTTATAGTTTCAATAATGTAACAAAAACTGTAAGTAAGTATGGAAAAGATTTTGTATACGCGTCAAGGAAAATACTGCATGGTAAAATATGCTGTATACGTACTGTACTATATCCCTCATCCTGCTGCACACTTGTGACCTGTGTTAATATCAATTTTGGCAGGTGTGTGCGTTGATCAAGTGCAGCTACGAGGTTTTAAAACAGAATCACATTGGATAAAACCACGAGGAGAATATCCAGGTCACGTGAAGATTACCTTAAATCACCCAATGAGTAAGCACCCGAACGCTATCTGGGGGATGGGGTTAGAATAGTTAAGGTTAGTGCTAAGATAGTTAATATTAAGTTGAAATAAACTGGGAGATAATCTTCACGTGATCCGAAAATCCTGGACAAAAGCCCTCAGTTGAATAACCCGCCAGCAAAATGAAGCTAAAATCTTGGTTGTTTCCCTATCATCTTTATTCGTTTGGCAACGTTGTGGAATTTTGTTCTTGCTGTGGGTTAGAGTGTTATCACACTGGTGAAGTGAGCAAGTTAAGAGAATTGAGTGGGGGAGGCAGGCTGCGGGTTTGCTGGGGGGGGGGGGGGAACTCTAGTCGGTTGGTGCTTGTGTGTGTGTGTGGGAGGAGAGGGGAGGGATTAGAGTGGTGTGGGTTAGAAGGAGAGGCAACAGCTGTGTTTTCACACACCAGTTGTGCCACTGCCCACTGTCGCCTCCCTGTCCGAGCACACATCCATTTTACATGAGGACCTCATGATGAGGTCAGGCGAGTACTGATTGGTTGGAGCGCGGGATATTTCACTAAATAAATCTAACCTAATCACCCAATCGTTATAGAACTTAACCATACGTACTCTAGAATAATGGTTAGTTAGTGTTCTCTACGTTCATTATGAGGGCTGTGAAAATTCCTAATCTATATCAAGAAACATTTGTCACACGGGAAAACCAATCAGACGGGCACTGCCCGGTCGGATGTCACCTATTTTAACCGTCACACGAATGGCATTTTTCGCCGGAGAAAATCTCACTACACAATTTCCTATTTAAAATATTCGTCCAATAAAATAATAAATATAAAATCTTTAGCTCTTGTTTATGTTTCAAATAACCTGCTGCTTGATTAGATGTAGTGGGAATTTGTAGTACAACTGTTTGAAGGATAGTACTGTAGTGGAAGCGGAAGTGTCTGTGCCTATACTGTAAATAACCATGGCTTAGTATAACGGTTGGTACGTGTAACTACAGTAATAGAAATCCAGTACTGTCTGCTGGTAAATTTATGAGAATAATCAGTAGAGTACTTCTGAGACAGTAGGATCTGGTGAAGCTATGGTTGAAGGGTGGGGCAGTCTAACTTAAGAACATAAGAATAGAGGAAACTGCAGCGGGCCTATTGGCCCATACTGGGCAGTCCCGTTTACACCCAACCCCTATTGCTCATATAAGCATCCAACCTATGTTTGAAGCTATTCAGCGTATTCGAGTTAATGATGATATTTGGTAACTTGTTCCATTCATCCACTACTCTGTTTCCAAACCAGTGTTTACCTATTTCACGCCTAAATCTAAATTTGTCTTATTTAAAACCATTGTTACGAGTTCGCTCCTGGTTGGATAGTTTGAGTACCTTTGTAATGTCCCCTTTGTTTAGCCCTGACTTCCACTTATACACCTCTATCAGGTCGCCCCTCGCTCTACGTCTCTCGAGGGAGTGCAAATTAAGATGCTTTAACCTGTCTCTATACTCAAGGTTCCTAATGCCCGGGATTAGTCTTGTCATTCTCCTCTGAATTCTTTCCAATGATTCTATATCCATCCTGTAATACGGTGACCAGAACTGAACTGCGTAATCCAGGTGTGGTCTCACAAGCGCAAGATACAGTTTTAGGATGACCTCGCTAGTCTTGTAACTAACACTCCTTTGTATGAACCCAAGTACTTTATTAGCCTTGTTACGAGCAAAAACACATTGTT